TTTCTTTCCATTCCTAGGTGTTTGGGGGGGGTGTTGGGTGTTTTTTTTTTGCTGGGGTGGGGGGGGGGGTGGGGGGGGGGGGGGGGGGGGGGAGCCGCGAAACCTCGACTTAAAACTTACACTCACTATTTTCTTCGAAAACATACGTGAGTTCCACAAAAAGCAACTATATTGATTACAGAAGTTAGCTAAATTATAGCCGATGAAACCAGGAAGATGAGGATAAGACAATTTTTTAAGCGTTTTTCGAAAAAGATGAATACCAAGAGATAAATACAAAGCAAAGAAAGAATAATTAAGAGTATTGTTGAAGAAACAATAAAATACAATGGCCGCCAAAAGTCTAGTACTACTTTTTTGTTTTTAGTCCTGTATAGCAGAGATCGAGTACTATATTTATAGATCTGTTCAATTCGAAAAATTCTCGAATACGAACTACTGTGAGAAAAACAAACTGCAGCACTAAGAAATAAATTACATAAAAAACTACAAATTGAGGTTTTTGTTATAGGATGCTTTAATAATCAGTCAATCACAAAGAAACACAAACCATTCAGAAAGCTTTTCATTTTATCAGATTTTCTACAGCTTTTTTGCTGTTTATTTTGGTAAAAAAGGATCTTCGATTTTATTAAGAGATGAACATGTTATAACTAAAATACTAAACAATGAGATGTGCAAATATGTTTTCAGCATAATTTCTTGCGAATATCTCTGTACAGACAAATGATAAAACCTTGGTTTTTTCTTTAATAGATACACCGTAAATAGATCTACAAAAAGTATTCTTATTGACTTGTTCTTATATGGCTTCTTTCATTCTCGATATCAAAGAAATGCATGATAATGCTACTTTTTACCATAATTAATCTAATAGAAATGTTAGACAAGCTTTAATATTTTGCATGTATCTTGGTTTGAAAAAATGAAAACACCTTGACTTTTACTTCAAAAGGTGCGCTGTTGAAAGCTCCACAAAATTTGCATAAATAAATTCCTATTGTAACCAAAAACGTGTTTCAGACATTTTTATGTTCAATTTATCGTTTTTTATGTAATCTTTTTCTCAGTACTGGAGTTTATTTTTCTCGCAGTAGTTCGTATTCGAGAATTTTTCGAATTGAATAGATCTATAAATATAGTACTCGATATCTGCTATCCAAGCATATACTTGAATTTAAATTGATGTTGCTTAGTTTTAATACACGACAGTGTTCGACATGGGTCACTTTTTCAGTGACCCGACCCGACCCGAATGCAATTTTGTCCTGATTAATACAAGCAAATTTTTAGAATATATGTCTTTTAAAACTAATTATAATTGACTCATTTTAAACAAAAATCGATGTGCACTCTATTTGGGGAAGTTGCGTTTTGTCTTGTGCAGCATCCTATTTAAAATTATTTTATTTTATTTCATGTTCTTTTCTTTTATTTGTTTTTCTTGATTGAACGTAAAAAAAAACAATATCATCTACTACATCTGGAGAAATGTTTGATCGACGTTCGAAGACCACTTGACCAGCCGCACTAAAGCTGCGCTCCATACTAGCTGATGTTGCTGGGACCGTTAAAATTTGGAATGCGACTTTGGCCAAAGATGAAAAAAAACCAGCCATTGTCTTCCAAAATTCTAGTATATCAGATGTGTTTGTTTCACGATGATTAAATTTAAGATATCGAGAAACTTCATCTTGTTTACGTGATATTGGTGGATTATCCACATATCTTGCCAGATAATCACGATTGTCATAATCATCATCACTATCACTATGTATAAGTGCTGATGATGCAACCGATTGACTAATATCATCTAATCTTTTTCTTAAATATTTTTGTGTTCGTGTTTGTTCTTCTTTCGTTGCCTGCCACAAAGAACGATAACTTGGATTCAGCATAGCAGCTGCAAAATGAATATCTTGTAATTCTATTTTTTGTTCCAGAATGACACTAGATTTGTTTTTTAAAAAACATAGTATTGATGAGCCAACAGCTGTTGTTTCCAGTTCATCTTGTAATACCAAACACAAGGAACCACCATAGGCAATGTAGGGTGATCATTTGCTTGAAGATCGATGATTTTCCGAAGGAATGGTTCGAGAAACCAGAGGATTTCCTATGGAATAACGCAGAGATTTCGAAAATGAATAAAAAAATCTTCTGATGCAGTAGTTTATCTTAGCACAATTATAGAATACAGATAGAATTTGCACGAAACAAAATTTCTTTGACTAATTATATAAGTATCGAATACAACTTAATGAAATATAGTGCCTACATTAAATACTTTTCGGTTGCTCGATGTAAGAAGATGAAGCATATTCATTTCAGAAAGTATTACAACCAGTATATCATATGATCTATTGATGCTATTTAACATCGCATGTAACGACAACCACCTTGTTTGATTTTCTTGAATAAGACCTAAACCACCTTTTTCTTGTATTTTTCTATTTAAGCCTGCTTTTCTGATATATCGAACCATTCTTTTACATCCATTAATAGTTAAAATTACTATACGTAATGGACTGGTGCATTGTTCATCAAATTCAATGTTCGACTCCTTTGAATCCCTTTCGTCTGACTCTTCTTCTCTCTTCCTTTTTTTAGTAAATTTGAAGAATATCATCAATGGTGACTCTAGGCATTATATTGAAATAGAAAATTTTAATAAGTCTAAAATCTTTACGCTAGGATATATTGCTTACATGTGAAGTTATCTAAAAGAATATCATGTATGCGATGAACGATACAATGAACAAGTTGATCATGTGAAAGAGCTGCTTTCAAATTTGATCCACGATCAATAACGAAAGTAGCTGATTTTCTATATTCTTGAATATTAAATTCGTTCAGTATTGCATCAATTGATTTGGATACATTTTCTGCCGATTTTTTCTGATACAGGAACTCACGACAAAACAAATCAATTGTACTTATAACAGAATCTTCAACAAAAATAACTGTCATACCTGTAAATATAAGATAGATATGCTTTACGACATAAGAAAAGAAATTCTTTACCCAAACATGCTTGTTTTTTTATACCGATCTGTCCAAAGGTCTGGACTAAACGCTAGTTCACCACGTTCATCTGTAGCAGCTATACGAGTTGCTACTTCTGATCGAGAAATACCAGCAAGAGTTTGAATGTGTCTTTTGACTGTATTTTCACGCGGCAAAATATTTTCTGCTCTTACTTTTTCTACAGGTAGTTGTCCATATCGAGCACCAATATCTAACAAAACCTGAAATACGATTATAAAACCTGGATCTTCAACACGGTGAAATGGACGCATGTTAATTACGCACCAGTTAGCAATAGAATCAATTAATTCTGTACGATGTGTATCTGAAATAGTTTTTTCTTGAATAACCTAACGAAAATAAACAATTCTGTCTGATTATCTGATGAAATTGGTGAGGAGAAATGTAAACATATTTCGTGAAGAGTTGGTTGCTTTACATCTTTGTTTGAACAGTTATGATCAGTAAGATTTTTGGTACCTGTACTCTTAGATCTGGAACGAAACACGAACGTGGTAAAGCAATCTTTGCAACTTGCAAATCCGTCAATAATTTTAAATTCATTAGTTTTCTCATCGATCATATAGATGACTTTTGATGAAAACTGAATACGAAAAACAAGTATAATATAAACGCACGAAACGAATTCAATATTAGCAGAAGTGATAAAAAGAGTTGAAATGGATGCATGCATCGATATTTATTTATACCTCATTTCTATTTAGTTCTATTTTTCTTTTTTTTTATTGTATTTTAATGTTTTCTCTTTGACAGTTCCCGAACAACTTTTTTCGGTTCTGTCATTGTACGAGTATCACCATCGTTGAAATATATTAATTGTTCTTTCTTTCCTTACCAGTAGCATATATATGTACATATCGATTGTGCTTAAAATTCTCTTTTTCTTTCGCCTATCATGCATATCTTTATATATATAATATATATATATATATATATAGTCTGGGAAAAAAATTCTGAGACATTTAAAACAGCTTCCCAATATTTTATAACTTATGAGGGAAGGTCGCCAGATGTTACACTCCGTTTCGAATCTTGTATTTGCCATTTTGTAGAGCTCACAAAGTACAACATATATGCTATAAAGGAATTATCCCCATACTGAACTTTTAAGGAGCNCTGTTAGAACGGAAATATTCAAAAAAGTAGTAAAAAGATTAATACATTTGAAAAAGGACAAAGCCTAAGAGTAGTTCATCAGTAATCTTCGTTGTCATTCACCTGGGATTCATTTCGTTGAAACAAACAACGAGTTCACTAAACTTCTTGTTTCGAGTAAACGTGCTTCACATCTAAAATTAATTATATAATGACTTTAAAGTGATTTTGTAAGTGACCTGAGTGCTCGAGTTGTACTAAGCCGATTATTTTCTTGTTATACATTGAAAAGTTCGTGGCTAATTTTTAACTTTTGTGAAGCACATGTCTAAGCTTATAACTTTCTTGCTAGATGAGGAAGCGGGATCAATCAATAGTCATTTTATAGAGCATGTTTTACTGCATCTTTTCATCATAGAGACTAATTTATAAACACATATTTCAGTTTAGAAAAACTTACTATACAAATCGAGTCAGCACTTCTGATCCACCGCTTATACAGTAAGTGTTCAGATCTACTCTATGCTAGGCTTTCAGATTCTCACTCATTGTTGTGATAGAGATACAAGTAAAGTAGAACTTACAAAAAAATCGTTTGAAATCTCCTGAAATCTTTAAAATTTGCTACCCCATCCCCTGATATCTTGTACTCATTTCATACAGAGCTTCAGAACATTTTTGTTAGCAGAAAAATAATTATTAGGATGCGAGAATGATACTATACAAGCCAAGTGGTACTACTTAAGGATAGAAAAATTCGCTGGATACTGATGGTGGAAAAGGTCTTCTGAAGAAAATGCAATTTCAAAAGACTTACGTCTACTCGCTATATGTGCAGGAAATATTGTATGTCGACGACAAGCATAACACTATAATGTATCGAAGTTTGTTCTATGCAAAACATAAAATCATTTCGCTGCATATACATATATCATTAGATAAGTTTGGCTGATGCTCATTCATCCGTTTTATGCAAAATAGCTCGTGATCGTATATTATTCAGGGACACCTGTTTTTTTTACCACAAAAATATTACCTTTATTTTGTTTGTTCTATCACTCATCGATCAAACAGCTTAGAGAATGGTAAGAGAAAGTGAATCGAATATTGGACAAAATGTGCAGTATACCAGGGTTTCGTTTGTTTTTGTGCTGTCGTCGCACAAAATCGAGAAAATATTAAGGCTTCACAATCATGTAAGGGAAATTAGCAGTCAATTCGAGTTTTTTTCAAAATGATTTGTTCCATTTCCTGAGCCACTTCAACAATACTGTGAGCCAGATATAACTCAACGAACTCGATCAAATGATGAATTCAGGGTTTTGGCAACAGCTACTCGAAAAATATGAAACCTAAAAGTTCGCTTTTTACTATAAATCCGTATAATTCACTGTATTATTCACTGGGAAATGTTAAAAAAAAATAGAAGGTCATGCCCAAGAGAAATCAAAAGTACGGCTAAATCTCAAATAAACTTATACTTTAATTATAACATTGTCTTTTCTGTAGCTCCAAATCTATACGTACATATAATACGCTCGGACCTCTGACATATGTCAAGCTTAGAGTTTGAATTCAGTTGCTCAAAAACTAAAAAAGCTTTTCCCGCGGCACTGACCTTTTATTTCTGCGTCCTGGTGTGGGAATATGTAGCGCTCCTCGAAGAGCGATGATCCGTGCTCGTATCTGTGAATACAGTAAAGTTTATATTGATTTTATGTTCTGGCCTTATGGAATAGCACCTATAGAATGGGCGTATAGGTTGGCAAATATCAGATTACGATGTACTCGATTTGGACGTCCAGGTTTGGACGTAGGGAATGGACGTAAATGTATACGGCGCAGAAGAGTTTGAACATTTTTTGTATCGCTTTCCACCGAAAAGATAAACCGAATGGACTCTATAAATCATCATCGACTTTTAAATATTTTAGTCGATTAGTTTACAATAAGAATGAAGTTGAAAGTTTAGAGAAATAGAGACGATATGACCACAACGGTATAAAAGTTTGTACATCTACCAGTGTTCGACATGAGTCACTTTTTAGTGATCCGACCCGACCCGAAGGCAATTTTTTTCTGATTAATACAAGCAAAGTTTTAGGATTTATATCTTTTAGAACTAATTATAATTGACTCATTTTAAACAAAAATCGATGTGTATTCTATTTTGGAAAGTTGCGTTTTATCTTGTCCAGCATTCTATTTAAAATTATTATATTTTATTTCATGTTCTTTTTTTTTCTTTTATTGTTTTCTTTTCTTTTATTGTTTTCTTTTCTTTTATTTGTTTTTCTTGATTGAACGTAGAAAAACAATAGTATCTACCACATCTGGAGAAATGTTTGATCGACGTTCGGAGATCACTTGACCAGCCGCACTAAAGCTGCGCTCCACACTAGCTGATGTTGCTGGGACTGTTAAAATTTGGAATGCGAGTTTGGCCAAACATGGAAAAAAAACCAGCCATTGTCTTCCAAAATTCAAGTATATCAGATGTATTTGTATCACGATCGTCAAATTTATGATATCGAGATACTCCGTCTTGTTTACGTGATATTGGTGGATTATCCACATATCTTGCAAGATAATCACGATTGTCATGATCATCGTCACTATCACTATGTGTAGGTGCTGATGATGCAACCGATTGAGTAATACCTTCTAATGTTTTTCTAAAAATATTTTTGCGTTCGTGTTTGCTCTTCTTTCGTTACCTGCCGCAAAGAACGATAACTTGGATTCAGCATAGCAGCCGCAAAATCAATATCTTGTAATTTTATTTTTTGTTCCAGAATGGCACTACACTTGTTTTTTTTTAAAAACATAGTATTTATTGATGAGTCAACAGCTGTTGTCTTTAGTTCATCTTTTAAATATCAAACACAAGGAACCACCATAGGTAATGTAGGGCGATCCTCTGTTTGGAGATCGACGATTATTCGACGAAATAGTTCGAGAAACCAGAGGATATCCTATGGAATAGTACAGAGATTTCGAAAATGAATTAAAAAATCTTCTGATGCAGTTTATCTTAGCACAATTATAGAGTACAGATAGAATTTACACGACAAAAAATTTCTGTGTCTAATTATATAAGTATCGAATACAACTCAATGAAATATAGTGCTTACCTGAAGTACTTTTCGGTCGATCGATGTAAGAAGATGAAGCATATTCGTTTCAAAAAGAACTATAATCAGTATATCATATGATCTATCAATGCTATTTAACATCGCATATAATGATAACTCCCTTGTTTGATTTTCTTGAATAAGACAAACCACCTTTTTCTTGTATTTTTCTTTTGAAGCCTGCTTTTCTGATATATCGAACCATTTTTTTTACATCCATTAATGGTTAAAATTACTATACGTAATGGAACGGTGCATTTTTCATCAAATTAAATGTCCAACTCATCTGAATCACTTTCGTCTGACTCTTCTTGTCACTTCCTTTTTTTAGTAAATTGAATAGCATCATCAACGGTGACTTTAGTCACTATATCGAAATGGAAAAATTTAATAAGTCTAAAATTTTTATGCTAGGATAGATTGCTTACATGTGAAAGTATCTAAAAGAATATTATGTATGCAATGAACGATACAATGAACAATTTGATCATGTAGAAGAGCTACTTTCAAATTTGATCCACAATCAATAACGAAAGTTGCTGATTTTCGATACTGTTGAATATTAAATTCGTTCAGTATTGCATCAAATGATTTGAATACATTCTCTGTCGATCTTTTCTGATACAAGAACTCACGACAACACAAATCAATTGTATTTATAACAGAACCTTCAACGAAAATAGCTGTTATACCTGTAAATATAAGATAGATATGCTTTACGACATAAGAAAAGAAATTTTATACCCAAATATGCTTGTTTTTTTATACCGATCTGTTCAAAGGTCTGAACTAAACGCTAATTCACCACGTACACCTGCAGCAGCTAAACGAGTTATGCGACTTCTAATCGAGAAATGTCAGCAAGAGTTTGAATACGTCTTTTGACTGTACTTGCACACGGCAAAATATTTTCTGCTCTTACTTTTCCTACAGGTAGTCGTCCGTATCGAGCACCAATATCTAACAAAACCTGAGATACAATTGTAAAACCTGGATCTTCAACACAGTGAAATGGACGCATGTTAATTGCGCACCAGTTAGCAATAGAATCAATTAATTCTGCATGACGTGTATCTGAAATAACTTTTTCTTGAATAACTTAAAGAAAATAAACAATTCTGTCTGACTATCTGCTGAAATTGGTGAGTAGAAATGTAAACATACTACATGAAGAGTTGGTTGATTTACATCTTTGTTTGAATAGTTATGATCGGTAAGATTTTTGGTACCTGTACCCTTAGATCCGGAACGAAACACGAACGTGGTAAAGCAACCTTTACAACTTGCAAATCCATCAATAATTTTAAATTCATTAGTTTTCTCATCGATAATTTCAGCTGGTAAGCCGAACTTTGACCAGCATGAACTTGACGACTTTTTTGCGGTGTAATCCTTGACTACATATTTGTGAGGTTTAGTTCGAAGAAGTTTCGTAATATCATTTGAATTCATCATATAGATGACTTTTGATGAAAACTGAATACGAAAAACAAGTATAATATAAACGCGCGAAACGAATTCAATATTAGCAGGAGTGATAAAAAGAGTTGAAATGGATGCATGCATCGATATTTATTTATACCTTATTTCTATTTAGTTCTATTTTTCTTTTTTTTTTCTTATAGTATTTTAATGTTTTCTCTTTGACAGTTCTCTAACAATTTTTTTCGATTCTATCATTGTACGAGTATCACCATCGTTGAAATATATTAATTCTTCTTTCTTTCCTTACCAGTAGCATATATATGTACATATCGATTGTGCTTAAAATTCTTTTTTTCTTTCGCCTATCATGCATATCTGTATATATTATCAGTCGATGGCTTTTCTTTCTTTTGAGAAATTCAATTTGTCAGTTCCTTTGTTTTGTGAAAGACGATCTGAAAGAGAGTGTTGAAGTATATAGGGTAGAAATTTGCCCCCACCCCCCAGACCGTGACAAAGAAAATCGATATCCATCACAGACCGTGACAGAGAAAATCCATACCCATCACAGACCGTGACAGACCTTTGGATACACAATTTACGATTATGTGTCACTAGAATCTCATAAAAACATATCAATTGTTTCCTTGTTGCAGTTCTAGAGGATTAAGTACAAAATGATGAATAAAGGGGGTTCAAGGTATATCGAAGAAAACCGTATTCGTGTCACTAGTAACAACAGCTACATCGTGTTTCACATTTTAATCCCGCGAGGATTGCGCTAACAGCTTTTTCTTTTATTGCAAATTTAAAAAAATAAGGACATCTCCTTGACCCTTTTCTCGGTTTTTATGTACCACTGATATTGCGTAGTTCGGGCAACAAAATCATCTGATAATACTTCAGTGCTTCTCTGCATTCATTTATATCATGTACAGAATTTAATACTATCACATTGCTAGATAAAATATTATATACTTACTATAAATGCTCTTAAGATATCAATTAATGCAAAATAATGAAATAAAACAAAAGATGATATCATACATGCTGCTTTATTATATCTAATTGTTTGTTGTGAGACCATAGAACTGATGAACAAAAAACTAACATGATTTTTGTTTCTGAAAAATACATATTTGGCCCGACCCGAGTCGAACACAGATCTGCTTGGGTAGCACTATTTTTTACAAGGACAAAATATTTAACTTTGATGGAAAAATTGAATCAAGAAAAAGTAGCCATAGGATCGTTATTAAAAGTACTGAAGTTCACTTGAAATAGTTACGTTAGTTCAACAGTAACAAGTGAATCATTTCGGAGAATTTCGGACACAACTTGTTACTTTTCTACTATGAAGAAAAGATTTTAGTTCACTTAAATACTAACAAAATATTCAGTACTTCGAATTAAAATCTGTTTTTTTTTTCCCGAAAACTGACAAATCTCAATGCTTGACATATATTTTTACTTAATCCGTTCATTGAAAAGAAATCATCTTCTGGAAAGTGATAAACATCGACATTTTTTTTGCATAATACTAATTGTGCCAATTGGTAGGATTTTGATCTTCTGCCACAAAATTCTTGATCATTTTTCACTTATTGAAGAGTTGGAAGCAAGTACTTCGTCCAGAGGAGTGTGCATCCCAAAGTCTATATTAATCGCCATTTTTATGAATTTTATCTAGTCTTTCTTAAACAAAATTTTATTTCGACCTTCATTTACATCTATTTCGATGTTGTTTAATTATAAAGGTTTTTTAAATTTCAATTCTAAACCCATTGAAAACTTTCAATAATACGTTAGTATTTTGAAGTCCTTTGTTACCGTAACTTAATTTCAGACGAGCATAAATTGCATATTCGAAATCTACACAAAAGTTTACGTCATATTTTACACATTTTTGCTTAAAAGTTTTTCTCGTAAAAAATATGCCTGAGCATGTATAGTTTCAGTTTACTGACCACCAACGTCACTGACTACATGAATACACTGAGATCAGTGGCCACTAAAGCTGACAAAGATAGTGCTATACAAAAAGAAAATTTGATACGGCTGATGTCTCAACCTTGCGATGAACATGGATATCAGTGCAATGAATCCCTCAGTACCAATGTTCTAGTATTTACATTAAGATTGTATAAGATTCGTTTGAAAGAGTATGCAAGAATGCATAGAAAGGCGTCCTAGATAGTTGATAGGATAGAACCATTTCCTCATCTCATACTCTAAATCTGATACATTTTGTGCTGGAAATATGAAACACATCTATCAAACAATGTCATTGAACTAATTGACGAATCATTGAATGATTCCAAAGATGCATTTTGTTCAGTACTTGTTTCAAGTGATCTTGTCAGTAAACTTGCATCTGTACTTCTCAAATTCATTCAATTCTTATTCGACGAATTTCGAGATAAAACTTTGAGCAGTCTTCTAACAGATCGTACCGCGGACATTTTTTCAATGCCCATCAATGTGATTCCAATCCATGTTACATTTAGTATTGCAAGTTTACTAGCAAGTATAAGCATTACTATTGATATAATCATTGGCGGACAAGTTAGTCAAATTTTCAATCGAAAGATTTTGGGAAAAATTGATCATAGCTAACTTGAAATACAGAGTGCTTCAAAAGTTCGAATGATAAATAAGTGTAAATATATTTGTTCAACTGCTCAAAGGATTTAGAAAAGATTTCTTTGATTCTGTCGAATGCTTCTTAATGTGTTGTTTGGTATAATTTTACTTGTACAAGTTGTTCAAAATAATATTTAACTGCTGAAATGAATGACTTCGTCATTCTCAAATATTTAGAGAAAAGATCCTAGATAGAGTCTTCGAGTGTAAAAGATACGAATTATTATATTTNTTTTGGAGATGCCACCGCATCTCCCACGGGAGATGCCGCATCTCCAGCGGGAGACGCGGCACCCACACTCGGGAGATGAGGTCATTCACCACTGGAGATGTAAGATCTCCTTTAGAGAGACGCATCCCCCACACCCACACTCGCATCTCTCGCGCGAGATGCGGCATCTCCCGCAGGAGATGTGGTGGCATCTCCAAAATCTTGGATATGTGACACTGCTGCATCTACTACATCTGGAGAAATATTTGATCGGAGTTCGGAGACCACTTGACCAGCCGCACTAAAGCTGCGCTCCACGCTAGCTGATGTTGCTGGGACTGTTAGAATTTGGAATGCGACTTTGGCCAAAGATGGAAAAAAACCAGCCATTGTCTTCCAAAATTCCAGTATATCAGATGTGTTTGTCTCACGACGATCAAATTTAAGATGTCGAGAGACTTCATCTTGTTTACGTGATATTAGTGGATTATCCACATATCTTACAAGATAATCACGATTGTCATGATAATCATCACTATCACTATGTGTAAGTGCTGATGATGCAACCGATTGAGTAATACCTTCTAATCTTTTTCTTAAATATTTTTTGTGTTCGTGTTTGTTCTTCTTTCGTTGCCTGCCGCAAAGAACGATAACTTTGATTCAGCATAGTAGCTGCAAAATGAATATCTTGTAATTCTATTTTTTTCCAGAATGACACTACATTTGTTTTTTAGAAAACATAGTATTGATGAGTCAACAGCTGTTGTTTTCAGTTCATCTTTTAAATACCAAACACAAGGAACCACCATAGGCAATGTAGGGTGATCCTTTGCTTGAAGATCGATGATTATCCGACGAAATGGTTCGAGAAACCAGAGGATATCCTATGGAATAATGCAGAGATTTCGAAATGAATAAAAAAATCTTCTGATGCAGTAGTTTATCTTAGCACAATTACAGAATACAGATAGAATTTGCACGAGACAAAATTTCTTTGACTAATTATATAAGTATCGAAGACAACTTAATGAAATATAGCGTTTACCTTAAGTACTTTTCGGTCGATCGATGTAAGAAGATGAAGCTTATTCATTTCAGAAAGAATTACAACCAGTATATCATATGATCTATCAATGCTATTTAACATCGCATGTAACGACAACCACCTTGCTTGATTTTCTTGAATAAGACATAAACCACATTGTTCTTGTATTTTTCTATTTAAGCCTGTTTTTCTGATATATCGAACCATTTTTTTACATCCATTAATAGTTAAAATTACTATACGTAACGGACCGGTGCATTGTTCATCAAATTAAATGCCCGACTCCTCTGAATCACTTTCGTCTGACTCTTCTTGTCTCTTCTTTTTTTTAGTAAATTGAAGAGTATCATCAACGGTGACTTTAGGCACTATATTGAAATGGAAAATTTTAATAAGTCTAACATCTTTACGCTAGGATAGATTGCTTACATGTGAAGGTATCTAAAAGAATATTATGTATGCGATAAACGATACAATGAACGATTTGATCATGTGAAAGAGCTGCTTTCAAATTTGATCCACGATCAATAACGAAAGTTGCTGATTTTCTATACTCTTGAATATTAAATTCGTTCAGTATTGCATCAATTGATTTCGATACATTCTCTGCCGATTTTTTCTGATACAGGAACTCACGACAACACAAATCAATTGTATTTATAACAGAATCTTCAACAAAAATAGCTGTCATACCTGTAAATATAAGATAGATATGCTTTACGACATAAGAAAAGAAATTCTTTACCCAAATATGCTTGTTTTTTATACCGATCTGTCCAAAGGTCTGGACTAAATGCTAGTTCACCACGTGCACCTGCAGCAGCTAAACGAGTTGCTACTTCTGATCGAAAAACGCCAGCAAGAGTTTGAATGCGTCTTTTGACTGTATATGCACACGGCAAAATATTTTCTGCTCTTACTTTTCCTACAAGTAGTCGTCCATATCGAGCACCAATATCTAACAAAACCTGAGATACGATTATAAAACCTGGATCTTCAACACAGTGAAATGGACGCATGTTAATTGCGCCCCAGTTAGCAATAGAATCAATTAATTCTGTACGATGTGTATATGAAATACTTTTTTTCTTGAATAACCTAACGAAAATAAACAATTCTGTCTGATTATCTGATAAAATTCGTGAGGAGAAATATAAGCATACTTCATGAAGAGTTGGTTGGTTTACATCTTTGTTTGAACAGTTATGATCAGTAAGATTTTTGGTACCTTTACCCTTAGATCCGGAACGAAACACGAACGTGGTAAAGCAATCTTTGCAACTTGCAAATCCATCAATAATTTTAAATTCATTAGTTTTCTCATCGATAATTTCAGCTGGTAAGCCGAACTTTGACCAGCATGAACTTGACGACTTTTTTGTGGTGTAATCCTTGACTACATATTTGTGAGGTTTAGTTTGAAGAAGTTTCGTAATATCATTTGAATTCATCATATAGATGACTTTTGATGAAAACTGAATACGAAAAACAAGTATAATATAAACGCACGAAACGAATTCAATATTAGCAGGAGTGATAAAAATAGTTGAAATGGATGCATGCATCGATATTTATTTATACCTTATTTCTATTTAGTTCTATTTTTCTTTTTTTTTCTTATAGTATTTTAATGTTTTCTCTTTGACAGTTCTCTAACAATTTTTTTCGATTCTGTCATTGTATGAGTATCACCATCGTTGAAATATATTAATTCTTCTTTCTTTCCTTACCAGTAGCATATATATGTACATATCGATTGTGCTTAAAATTCTTTTTTTCTTTCGCCTATCATGCATATCTGTACATATATGATATATATATATATATATATCAGTCGATGGCTTTTCTTTCTTTTGAGAAATTCAATTTGTCAGTTTCTTTGTTTTTATTTTATTACGCATTTAAAAAAATAAAGATATCTTGACCTTTTTCTCAGTTTTTATGCACCACTGATATTGCGTCGTTCGGGCCACAAAATCATCTGATAATACTTCAGGGTTTTTCTACATTCATTTATATCATGTACATAATTTAAGACTATTATATCGCTAGATAATATATTATATACTTACTATAAATGCTCTTAAGACATCAATGAATGGAAAATAATGAAATAACACAAAAGATGATATAATACATGCTGCTTTATTATATCTAATTGTTTGTTGTGAGACCACAGAACTGATGAACAAAAAACTAACATGATTTTTGTTTCTGAAAAAGTACATATTTGACCCGACCCCAGCTTCCAATGACCCGACCCAACCCGAGCAGACCCGAGATTAAAAAATTTTCCTGATCTGACCCGACCCGACCCGAGTCGAACACTGTCAAGTATATTAGTTTGTTAATTAATGTTTAGTTGTTAAAATTAACACGATAGAACTGTATGTCATTTGAAGTGATGTCCATTATATACCTGACATTTTCCCAGGTCAATTTCAAATCAGTAACTAAGTATATTGTATTCTATGTAAAGATGTTAGTTTAATTCAAAGAATATATCGAATAAAAACTAGAATAGAAAAAAATGTGAATGATATTAAATCGCCATTTAAGGTAAAAGAAACTTCGAGAAAGTAAAACAGCTTATTTATATCTCGATTACGAATGTAGTGTGAAGAGAACAAGGACATGCACATCCATACCCTTCTTTAATACCTTTTTTTTGTTATTTGCTGAAAAGAAAGTTTCACCTGCCATGATTAACTTTAGCTTTAATGTAATATGTTGTTCGATTCAATATTGGCCTAGGTATACTGTATGTTGACCTAGATGGATCCAAGATTGATCTTAGGTACCTTTCAATTTGTTATTGACCTAGATCACTGTAGGATTCCCCTAAAACTCTCAGATCAATTTTAGATAGATCGTTTTGTAAGTGAATTTATGTCCGTTCAACGTAAAACCCTATTTTAACCTAGGCGGATATGAGATTAGACACCAACATATATATATGTCACAGGCAAATTTGAATTTCAAGCCAAATTGATTTTTTTTGCGCTTCTATCAAATTCAATTTTGACTAGGCAGAAATCGTTCTCTGTTCGTGATTATTTTATATCATCTAACTCCCAATTTCTTTCATTTTCATAAACAAAGTTCATTGAGTGTTAAATAGCTTTCGATATTTTCTTCTACAATATCAACAATGACATTTCAACAATCAACTTACTCTCATCCTATTATCAATGATTTTGCACGTGAAAAATTTTATGAACTTGCTAAAAAAACATATTGAGACGTTAAATCCAAAATTTCGTAATAAAGCTGTTATCACTCGTGTTCAAAGCAAAAAAATAATCAATGTACTTCAGAACAAGCTATCTACTGCAAAGGTTTCCGGTAGTTTTTCTCACTGGTGCAAACAAACGTTCGCGCTTCGTCTTATCACTGGTCATCAACTTTTATGTGATTTTAAAGAAGTTAAACCTGTTCTTTTATACGAAGACATATATGATGTTTATCAGACAACCACAGCATGTCGTAGAAAATTTCCTTTCTTTTAGACGCAGTCACTCTATCTCAACCGGTTCTTCTTCAGTATGCACACATTGGCTGGCACGACAACGAGTGTGGGTGAAGGGGTGTGCCTATTCTGAAGAAGTACCTCTCAACCCATTTTCATCGCTTGCTCGAGAAACGTTCGATTTTTCTAGACAGTTACTCCATGTGCACTCATTTTCATCATATTTGAAAATTGTTTAGAAATTCAATATAAATATTTCTGTTAGCCAACATTAGGTGTTGCTGCTCCGAAGTAACCATTATTATTTGTCATTACTGTTCCTGTTGATCCTTATTCTCCAATTGGTTTTAAAACTGTTTCATTATCAACTAATACAGTTCATTGTCGAACATTTCCAGGTGAAAGGAGTAAATACAGGTTGGTTGAAAAGTTTTGAAAGCAAAAATGAAAGAATGTGTATTTTTTAATGAAATCAGTTTTTTTATTCAATATAATCTCCCTCAACTTGAACACACTTATTCCAATGATCCTCCAATAATTTTATACCATCTCTGTAATGATTTTCCGGAAGCTCTGCAAAATACTGTTCCACGNGATCATATTTCATAAAATAATTATTTTTTTTTTTTTTCTTAAATATCAACTCAATACATACAAATTTAAAATCGTTGGAATAATACAAAGTCCAGCGCCAAGAAGAAAAGTTAAATTCCGATAACTAACTACTGTACGTGCATAAACCCAAGTAAAAAATGTTAAACCAAATGTTGTCGTAATTGTATTAATTTCTGTAACAAATGTAAATGCATTTGAACGTTCATATGGTTCTAACCATTTTGCCATCATTGACATTGTTAATGAACCTTGATAACCTGAAAAAGCACTTACTAATAATCCAGCATATAATTCCCAATTATGACGTGCAAATGCTAACCATATAGATGATACAAAAAAAAATATATGACTTATTAAACAAATAACAGCATCATTTGCACCAGCATGTGTTAATGCTTGCATACCAAGTACACTTAATATAGCATAAGATATAGCTGCTAATGCTGAATAATTCCCAATATCTTTTGATGTCCAACAAAATGGTGCATTAAGAAGAAACCATAGAAATGGTCCAAATGTTGATGATGCTAATGTATAAAAAATATTTGAAAATAATGTTAATAGAAGACTCGTCGATTTTTTTGATGTTCTTCGTTCATTAAAATGAAATACTGTACAAACTTGAAAAAAATGACTACATCTATTTGAAGATAATTCTTTAAATTCAGTATTATTTGTTGATATTAATAAAGGTGTTTGTTCATTAAGATTAGAATTTGTTGATTTAAAAATAAATATAACAATTAATATTGATAGAAATTCTAATCCTAAACCTATCCAACATAGATCTGTAAAACCACGCCAATCAATATAATAACCAATAGCAAATGTTCCTATAGCTGATATACCTGTTTGTAATGCACCAAGACGTACAGAACGTGATGATAAATCATCTTCATGTGTTGTTTCAGTTATAATTAAAGTTAATACAAAACCTTAAGGCACAAATAAATAAAAATCTAGAAAAATATTTTCATTTTTTATTCATACTTAGAATACCACTAGATCCTGATATACCTATTATAACAGCAGATATATACCACCAATAATCAGATAAATGAAAATAAATAATTGCTAACCATATAGAAAATTGAATAAATGTACCAATCATTGTTAATATAAGTACAAAACGTTGACCTAATTTTGGTGTATATAAACCAAGTATATATGTCATTATGATTAATGGACAACTACTATATAAATTAGTCCAAAAAAATAAATCTGCTGATTGTTGTTGGGCCCATGCTTGAGCATCACTATCAGGTGATATATCACTTTCAATACATTGTTTAGTATCATCATTAAATTTTTTTAGAAAATTATATGTAGTTATTGAAGTAATTGTAGAAAAATTATATGTACTATTTGATGGTGTAGGATAGATTTCAAGATAATATGCATAAATATATTGTCCAATTGTTGAAATTATACAAGTACATAATGTTTGCAAAGATAATATAGCTCCTATTGTATAAGCACCTATATCTGTCATTGTAAATTCGATATAAATGAGAAATATTATTAAAAGTAATTGATTTCATATGTCACGCGCATACGAATCAAAAAATATATGCGTTTTTTTTTTTTTTTTTGAGAAATCGGAAAACAAATACATATGACTATCATATGATTAACAAGAGAGAGAACAGCAAAAAAACGTAAAGGATCATTATTTTAACCAATAATTTTTATTTTTTTTGTCCTATCGTAACTTGTCACTACTAGACAATACTACTATTTAGTCTGAACAAGTGTTAATAAAGCAGTTACACATATTTGTACAAATGTGAAAGAAAAAAATGTAATAAGAACAATTTTTAATTTCCTAGCCGATTGTTCACATCGAAATAATTTTAAAAAATATGTATCATAACAAAAATCTGATGCAAGATTGAGAGATGAAAATATTAATGAAGCTATTATAATAAGACATACAATAATATGAATAAATTTAAAACGTTGTAATGAACATATTTGTTTTTTAGGATGACTCATAAATAAAATAAGATAAATTCCTAATGCAAAACATAAAACACCTGCCCAAAAACCAGTAAATGAATATGATTCATTCATACTAATTAAAAGAATATCACAAACAATAGTTGCTAAACCAATAAGCATATGAAGAATACCAGCTATAAGTAAATATCGTAGAAATTTTGATGATAAAACAATAGATACATGAGACGATGGTCTTTCTTGATATTCATTTCGTATATCAGGAATAATATAAATAGATGGCGGTGGATTTACTGAATATGCTGGTGGTGGCCCATAGTAATCATCATCAGACATGGCCCAATTGATAGCCATTATGCTTATTTAATATATTGTAGAAATCGAATAGTAACCGAGCGTAGCGATGCAATAAAATGACGCAAAATTTACATCAAGTTCATTATACAAGAGAATGCGTGAAATATAGAAGTGTGAGACAAGGAGAAACGAAAAAAGAAAAAAAAAAGAAGGTCAAATAATTGAAGGTTATCATGCATGCAACATGTATGATTTGAGCACGTCAAAAGGATCATTATGATGAAAATATATACACAGTTTAAGGACAAGAGTTTATTGACCAATCGTATAGTCTAAATATCAAATTGAATATATATTTTCAGGCAAGTTTTATACATACAATGATTTATTGATATTTATATCAGACTTATGAACTAGAATAATATAAATAATTTCAATGTTTTAGATAATTATTTGTTGATCTTTGAACTTTAAGATTGTTTGTTTTGTTTTTGACATACGATTATTTATTTGACATTAATTAGAAGTGGCATAATTCAAAATCGGATATAGGGAGTGAGCGTTGTGTGCACAAGTTTAAGAAATAGGGAGACGTCATGGAACTCGAACAAATAGCGCATATGTTTATTAGTGTATATTTTTCAATAAAAGTCAATTGACTAACATCAATTCGGTACTGTTTACTTTCTATTGAAGCAAAGATTATTTTTATTTTTAATTTAAAATTCTTTGTTAGGCAATATCAAATATTATAAATAGAGATAGATTTTGTCCTTGATTACAGACTATTTTTTATGATTTAACGATTTAATGTTTATAGCTGAATAATGTTCTGATATGTCTGAATTATATAGCATAATATTCTATTGCTTTTGTTGATAAAGAGCAATAAAAATATTTTTCTAAATTTAAATATTCAATCATTAAAAAAAATGATGAAAAGATATAATTATAAATATGATATTTTACATAAATATTCTTTTTATTTCATAAATAAAAGATCAATATTCAAATACTATTATGAAATCTACTCTATTGATTCTTCAATGTTTAAATAGCTACTTCATTTTGATTCTATTACATAGTATACGAAATACACGGATATAACTATTATAAGAATCCTTTCTAATCAAACATATAATACATGTCTTACAATTCTGTAAGAAAAAAAAAGTATTAAGCTTGATTGAAATCCTTCTAAATGATAGATCCTACTCCATTAATATTAAGTTTAAGATTATTATACAATGAATATGTTTGTTTAGCATATGTCTAGACATGAGTAATGAGTAGGAGGATCGGTAATAACTATTATTCAATTGAATACATCTTGCAGAATACATCGACCTTGATAATTAAATCCTTGGCTGTCATAATGAGAAAAATAATTAGTAATAATGTTAAATGAAAGGTAAATTCGATTATATTAACATTCGTAAATATTGAACTGATCGACGAGGCGATTGAAAAAAGATCGAGACAACGTTCGTTTTATGAGTAAATAGAGAAGTTCAGAATAGTTTGGTTGTTCGAGTTATTGTTCTTGACATATCGAAATTTCATTAAGTTTTTCAATAAAAAGCTGTGATGATCCTCTGGTCACGTGAGAACTTCGACTTTAAACTTTGCACGAATAAAGATCTCGATAAGATCAATTCATTGAACAAGTTGTAATTTTTCTCATATCTTCTACTTTCTATTACGATCAGAGTTCAGTACAGAGTCATTATTCAAAGTAAAATAGGCAACGAAGTGTATCATTATCAACTATCATGGATCGTTAGTGAAAAATTATTATAACTTTAAGAGTTAGGTGATATCAAATATTAAAAGATGATGTTCAAATTTGTCTGTAGTCAAAACTGAAGAAATCAAAACAATAATAATTATTATTTTAGGGTACATTCATTAACTAATTAAACCACGATGTTTGAATATATGTGGTTCGAAAAAATGAAAATAAATCTATTAATTGATATTCAATAGCATCTTTTTTTCAGTGACGCCATCTGATGCGTTCACTATAATTGATAATAATTTGCTTATTACTATTATAATTATTAATGAGAAAGATCAAGGACTGACGAAATTTAATTATTCATCGTTTTTAATAACTTAGTCTAAAACATCAAATTGTATGTACAAATAAAAATTATTTTCAATTAGTTCATTATGAATGTAAAATAGATGAAGGTTGAACGAGTTGAGTCAAAATATTTTTCCTATGTTTTTGTTTATTCTGGTAAAGAATATTAACAACAAATTCTTATGCATTTTAGAGGAAGAAAATTGAATTCGATTCGAAAATGTGCACCTACTCTTTAGATGAAATTATTATTATTATTATAGCGCCTTGATGATCATTCTATAAACATCTCTTATCAGGTGTCTAGGCTGTCATTTACATTGAAAATATGTAGATTAAGCAAAATTTCAAGCATCAAATCTTAGTTTGACATCAGCTATAGCTATCATTGATGATCTTTTAATAGAATTAATTCTTTGTTTATCGATATGTATATGCCATCTAATCTTGATTCTTATCAATGAAGTTATTTTGAAAAAGTTTTTAGCGCGATTCCTGTGGGATTAATATGTGAAATAGGATGTAGACATGGTTGCTAATCATTGAAAGATTGTTTTATGCTATCCATTTTAGTACATATTTCTTTGTCATCCTGTTACTTAATCTTTCACAAATGCAATAAAGAAATTGTAAAGAACACTATTCTTGTCAATTTTGTATTTCGATTAAAATCTATGAAATAAAAAATGTGAAGCAGTTTTCAATGATTCAGTTTCGTAGAATCAAACAGTGATTTTTTTGATGAATGCAGATTTCCATAGAAACTAGTTTGTTTGTTAGTGGAAACGTAAAGATAGGAATTCGCATAGTTTAACATATAATTTCAGTGCTCTAAAATAACGTTGAATTGAAGATGTTTCAAGACATAAAACTAGGAATTGTGCTTTATACAGAGTGTTGAACTTATTCACAATATTTACAAATAATTGATCAATCTTACCTCAGAAGTAAAATCTGAAATATATATATTCGAAAATAAGACAAAATTTTGATTCTGACTCTAACCAATTGACTTTTAGTGGCCAATAAATGAGCAAACATATTATGTCAAGACTTTTGTGTTGTAAGTTATGTATATAGGAAAAACAAAGGTCAAGATATATCTTATTTATAAATAATCAAACTGTATACAGAAAAAAAAAACAAATGACTAGAATCGAACAGGACGAATAATATGTGACGATAATCGTTGTCGATTAGTATCATTGAAAGGTGTCAATGTTGAATGAATCTGTGGTAGTACAAGTGTGATAGGAAGTATATCCGGCATAATTGTATGATGAAGAACAAGTGTACTTAAATTATCAAATGTTTTTGAAGAGCCCTACAAAAAATAGAATCAAAAAGAAAAAAAATTTCATTTAAATCAAAGAAGTGTGAATTTTTTGTTGTTGTTGTAAAACAAACCTTTAATCGATAACCATTATTATCAATCGTTTGTTCAATAAGATAATGTTCAATGGATGATATATTTGTTTTTATTGATATAACAAATGGATATTCTGCATATGTATAACTATGTCGAATAATAAATGAACCAATTGGTTTAGTATTATCATTTAAATATTCTTCACATATATGTCGTGGTAAACCTTCTTGATACCAAGCAGCAGCTGTTAATAATTCTTGTTCATAAGTAATATAAATTTCATTATGTATTTGTTCTGGTTCGTCAACAGACAGAGAAACAATCGATTGACTATCTGAATATATTTGTTTATTAATTTTTGAACGTAATTTATCGATTTGTTCATCTAAATTCCATACACTTTCATAGATTTCTGTTTCATGTTGAGGAATATTTATATCTGTTTTTGATGATGATGATGATGATATTAATGATGCTAAACTTTTATGTTTAGATAATTTTTCTTTAAAATATTTTGTTATAATATTACGACGATTTGATGATGAATGATCAGTTTGAGATAAACTTAAACGTGAACCANATTTCACGATGCTAATCATTATAGAATCATTTCTATCTTTGGAATATTTGATTATCAATTTACATTATTAGATTGAATCAAATCGTTCGAATTTCGTCGAACTCTCATTGAGTGTAATATGTATGAAAATATAGATAATTTTGCGAATTGGATCAGTCTAGATTCATTTGAAATTTTCGAACAATTTAGTATAACACTGTTCAACGTAGCAAGACAGACGATGGAATCCGTCTGGCCGGATGGGAGCAGATTCGAGAGAAGAATGTGAGCGGGTGTGTGATAAGTAATATATCCATGTACACGTAGAAATCCAGAGTTGCCCGCTTCCTCTATCCTATGTCTATACCATTGAAGCAATCGAATTAGAATAATATGGTACTCACCTTTAGCTATTATCTTAATTTTTACTTTATTTTTCATCTCTTCAAACATTACTAATAAGCTTCAGTACCAAAAGATGTTGAACAGATGCCGAGATGGTGAAGGTTACAAACCAGAGATGTCCATCGCGGCGCTACCGCGGTGGCGGCAGCAGGTTTTTTTTTTAAAATCATCGCGGCTGCGGCAGCGGCACCTTTTTTTTTCGAGGACATTGAAAAACTGCATGAATTTGATAGAATTTCATTGTTTACAAATGAAACACCCTGAGACTGAATGAATCTGATGGACTAGTACCAATATTTGTGGTCCAATACGATCACAGCAGTGAAATTCGAAATATTTTTTTGAAAACCATCGCGGCAGCTTTTTTTATAAGTCATCGCGGCGCGGTAACTATTTTTCTAATGCCGCGGCGCGGCAGCGGTAGGTTTTCAGCCGCGATGGACATCTCTGTTACAAACCTACACTTTCTTCTGTGCTCGAAAAACATTATAATAGAGCTCCAATTTCTTTAGGCAGTTTATTAAAATATGATATTTTGAGAGTTCAGAAAGAGAAAAGAAAATATAAGTGACTGAATCATCATAAAGAAATGACTTTGGATGGGCGTTGCATAGAAAGATAAAAGTAACTAACTGACCTAGTAACATAGAAAATCAACTTTTTTTTTGTAGTAGCATCTGTACGTAGCTTCTCAAAAGAGATACTTTTTCGAATAATATGCAACTACTTAATGATTGAATAGCTGATAATTCATGTAATTAAGTACTTAAAGTCTAGGGCTAGTTAAATATTATCATAGTTACTGAAAATGTCTCATAGCTATTTAAAGAACTTATAAAGCTACTTTGTGATTTAAGTAACTAGTGTGTTTGTAATGAGTTTTCTTGTAATGTGTAACTTCATTTAACTAGGTACTTAAAGTCTAAGGCTATAAAAATTATCATACCTATTTTAAAAATTTAATATCTACTTTGAAAAAATTATATGACTAGTGAATGATTTAAATAGCTAATTTATTTCTAAGAAAATTTTTTATTGTACTTCTTCATGTAACGAGCTGTTTAATATCTACCATTATTTAAACATCATAGTATCGATTTAAACATTTTGCATAGATAGTTACTAAATGATTGAAATGATTTTCCTTTTCGTAACAGCATTTGGTTTATTGATCTGCAATATATTATGAGCGATTGAAGCCTAACGTTATTAAATATTATTGTAATCATTTTTAAGATTCGATAATCATTGAAGAAAATGAAAAATGCATATTTTAAAAAATTTAAATTGTCACACTTAAAACTTTTAGAAGAATTGATTTTTCCTTTTTTTTTCATTATCGCTCAACAGAAATGGCCGGTTTATATTCGAAAAAAGAGTATCCTGTATATTTAACAGGAATATTATAATAGGTAGAAATTTGTCTATTATTCTTACAATTCAAAATAGTTTTACTTAGATGTTTTCAGAAAGTTATTTTTTGAATATGTATGATATTATTTGTTTCTCATGTAACTCGACGAACTCTATTCGACCATAATGCAAAAAGAAAAAGAAACAATACTTCTAAAATTTTAAAGTTTGAATACATGACATAAACTACTAATCTTTTAAAATTCTGATTATCTAAATCCATGCATGCTATTCGCGACCGATAATTTGAAATGTTTAGTTTGACTACCAGAACATTCATGTTATCTTAATATGATTAATCTATCTAACATACTGTATATATCATTCGACTGTGAATGATCCTCAAAACAAAATGCGTATTGATAAAGGATTGCTGAAGATTAAACAGTAACTCATTCAACATTTTTTTTCGCCCTAACTCGAAACAAATCAGTAAGAGTAAGTGAGTAGCTGAGTGTTTATTAAACAGGTAAAAACCAATATTAAATACTGATTGAAATCTCTAAATATTTGGTGAGACTAATTGGTAGAAACATGAAATATATTGCAACTATCTTTACTATTAAAAGTCATAAAATAAAAGATCTATAAGTTACTCTTAGTTCTAGCTTCAATAATGACGTTCATGCTCCAAAATCGTGCTTAGATTACGTAGCTCGACATTTAGTAATTTAGAAAATACATAAATTACTACTAAATAGCTATGAATATCTATCAAATAGTCTGGAAATGCGTAGGAGGTCGCTAACATAAAGAAGCAATACAATTAAGGATAAAAGAATCATAAATAATTCAATATGTATTATAATGAACTATATCTATAGAATTCACACTTAAGTATGTCTGTTAGCTCTCTCTATCAATGTTCTCTATAGAAAATTGTATCTCTGTTGAGAGTGAGCCAAACCATGATAATGCAAAAAAATAGAACTCTGACATACTTTATATAAGCAGAAGATTGGCAATAGAAGAACACATACCTAAAACATAACATCTTCAATGAATTATAACTTTTCTAATATTTACAATCTTCGTTGTATGTGAACATCAAACTCCACATACATATTAGCTTGATGAATTCCAGTAAACTTTATTATGTCAATAAAATATATAATGAATTAATTTGTATTTTATTCAAAACAAAATCAAGTATAGTTCCTGTTGATGAAGATAATCATAGCCACATACTCACTGTATGCTTTTTTACTATATGTGTATTACATTATCCTGATTTCAAACGATATCTAAAATGTCCTTTCGATTAGTATACATGAAAAAGACAATTCATTTTTCTAAAATAGAAAATCATACCGTCATATTATTATTTTCCAAAACACTATGAACATCATGGCATCTTTTCAACATCTTTCATTTTCAGTATAATTTAGTACATGATGCCTGCACTTACTACGTTGAATAATCCATATAAAACAATATATCACTTTTACAATTATCAGCTTGTACGCGTAACGCTTCACCTCAATGACCGGGAGTTCGAAATCAATATCTTAAGAAATCATTGTTGCCATGTTGTAGAGCATGATTTAAAGTGTAGAGAAACTTATTTCGTTTCGTGAATAAGTGCTCTAAATTGCATTTGATAATTGATAATAGAGAGGCCACTAATAGACAAAAAAAAGTTCCTCCAGTTAGAGCATGAGTTCACCTAATCCGTATATCGAAACAGTCTGGTAGATACAAAGTTAATTAAGACTATGATAATAGATGTAGCTTTTTCCCATAACAATGAGTTTACTACATGCTATACTTTTTTGCAGCGAACTTAAGTAAACCTACTCGATTTATAATGTCATCGCGTAACGAAAAATGAGTGTTGTTTTTCTCACCTCATGATGTCGCCTTCTTTTTTTACAAAAATATATATCTAAAGCTAATTTTTCATGGGCTATCTGATGCGCGTATTTTTATCTGAAAAAGATTCTGTTTCAAAATCATATTAGGTAACGCGACGACGTTTTTTACTGTTTTCTACGTCTCTTCATGTATGTGAAAGAACGTTTTCAGACAGTGATTTATTATTCCAAAATCACTATAAGCTATGACTAATATATATTTTTATTGGTCACTAACAAACTGCAATAAGAATATAGATGATTGGTCCCACTAGCTGATTGCGTTCAATTAAAATTAAATTATCAATCTAAATTCTCTATCGTTTTTATGATGATATTCGTAAAGTCGAAAAAACTCAAAATTCCAGTTGACATTTTTTTCTCGATGATTTATATATGGTCGGATAGAGCTCAAAAAACTGTGTAAGAAAATGTACTTTTAAATTGGTTTCTCTCTTTTATGTACATTAAAAAAGTCAAAATACTGAGCTTATTCTGTTACTGAAACCATTCCGTATAGAATGGTCTCATTATTTTGACATTTTTAATGTACATTAAAGAGGAAAATAGATTTAATAGTACATTTTCTTACACAGTTTTTTGAGCTCTATCCGATCATATATAAATCATCGAGAAAAACTGTCAACTGAAATTTTGAGTTTTTTCGACCTTACACAGACATTACTATACATATTAGTCATACTACACTAGTTTATTTTTTTTACGATTCTTTTTATATTAGAGGAATCAATAAATGCAACATTTAAGATTGGATACTCTAAGCGGTAGAATAAAAATAATATCTTGTCTTCACAAAGGTGTACATGTAACAAAATAAAGCATAGAAAAAAACTGATTACAAAAGTCATCATCATCGCGTTACAAGGTCGTCATCGCGTTCCGTTAATCAAACCGATTTCTATTCAAAATAAGAAGCCTGTTCGAAGAATATTTTTCTCCGCTTGCTACTTCGAACTGTTGGCTACAGAATATCCATAGAACGTTTCTTTGAATATAGCATACATTCGCAGAGAAATAAAGAACAATCAGGTCACCCTCAACTTTTTGTCCCTTTTTCGTCATCGCGTTACGCCATGTATTTTTACTATAATTTTTAAACGGCTCGTTCAAACGAGCTCATATTTTCAGAGATTTTGCAGAAGACAGAGGTACATCTTACAACGAAATAATAAACATTCTGGGCAATATGATTGCTGCGAAAAGTTAATAAAACTGTAACCAAAACGTCATCGCGTTACGCTCGTACAAGCTGTTATATATCATTGATTATGAATAGACAATCGATTTGTTTTTATTTTTTATTGAACTATTTCAAACACATGAGATCAACAAACTAATCTTTGTTGATATACGTCACATACACAAGATGTAAAATGTAAATATTTATCGCAAAAAACAAAAAAATCCAGTGTTAATAAGCATTTGTAATGAATAATTCTTGCTTAATATGATTCAATTGAAAAAAATACTATTAATATGTTTTCATTATTCATTTTATTAATTTAATAAGAAACAAAGGAACGTTCTAACAGAAGAAAATAAACATAGAAATCTTTTGAATGTTGTACTATTGTTTCACCGACTTTTAATTCTTTTAGTTTGATATAATTAAGCCGTGTTGTATCTGTTGTAAAGTTTTCTGTGACGATTGTTAACCGATTATAATTGATTATTAATTCGGTTAGATAAGGTAGATGTGTTTTTGTCTCATTAAGAAATTGCTCAACATAATCAATATGAACAGTGACAAGTCGAAGTGAAAAAAGAAAATAAGAATATTTAATAATTGAATACAATTGATTATCATTACAGTTCCGTTCGTCTGATATTAATAATTGTGATTTAATATTAATAACACATAATTCTTCAAGCAAAGAAAAAAAAACCAAGGAATTCGATTGAAAAATTCATATTTGAATAGAACTTCATCCTTCATCGATAATTTTCTAGCATGACTGAAAACAAGACTTGAAAATATATTATCAATAAATCTGACATCTTCAAACATGAATTCTAATGAAAAGACATAATATATGGTAGTACAATATCTGTAATTTACAATACAATCCTTTTTTTTAACATTTTATGTTATTAAGAGTTTGTTGAATATCATCTTTAGATAAATGACGAACTAAACGATTCATTTTAGTATTGATACAAATACAAAAGTTAGATGTATAAATTGATGGTTTATGAACAAGAATTTCATTATAAAAATGAGTATCATCGATAAATACAATTCGATTGTTGATAGTTATATATAAAGTTAATTCTTGAAGATTTGTCATAGAACGAAAGAGAGAGATAGAATTTGAGTAATAATATGCATTAGTTAAGCAAAAATATGTTGTTAAAGAGAAAAATTTCAAATTAGATAGATTATCCTAGAAAATATAAATTGAAATATAACATTATCAATTAAAATAAGAATAAAAAATTCAGATGAATAACTATTTAAAAAGTTCGATTTTTATTTAATCGATTTTTAAATATTTCTTCTATTCGATGATATATGAATATTCTTCTACAATGATGATTAATCAATAAATCTAAAACTCATCAAAACTAAACAGTTTGTTTTTTAAAATAAGATTCAAACATTCGATTTATTTCTTTAAACTAATTCATACACACAAAATAGTTAATAATTAAGAAAATATGAAATATAAAATTGACTGTATTTGTCCATCGAATAGACAAGTGTTCATTTTACAACTATTTAATTATAGTTTATTCAAATAAATAGGAATTTATTAGACAAAAAAATCTATCGATAATTATATGAAAACAATTATTATTCTGATCAATAGTATTTTTTAAAATTGATAAAATTAACAATAATACCAACAATCAAGCTCGCTAATTGTTTGAGACGACCATCAAGTTAAACAAGACAATCTTTTTAAATTCATCATATGAATATACAATTTGTTAAGAATTGAAGAGAAGAAGATAATTAAAGATAAATGACGAAGTACCAAAGATGGAAAAAAAAACAAGAAGATGATCTAAAATTTCCTGTCGATACATTAAAAAAAACTAATCAGACACTATAACTGACAAATAAACGGATGTATGATAGCCATCATTTGACTCATCTGATGATGTGCGTGTGTCGTTGCTTCCGCTCTTCATCTTCAATCGATTCGATATACACACGCAAATTGTCATCATTTGATTTTTCAAAACAACAATCTGTCCACCCAGTTCCGTTGTCATGAACAGGTTTCTCTTTCTCTCTCTCTAATTGTCTCAATGTTGGTCAACATTAGAATAAAACTCATTAAACGACGAAAGAAAATAAGATAGAACGAGACAAGTGGAAAAATACATCAATAATTGCTCTAGGCACGTCTGTCTACATATTTTCTGTATTGACTTAAGTTTTGGAATAAAAACAATAGTACAAAGAGAATCTCTCTTTTCTTTTTTTATTCACTTTATCAGCTAAACACTTTCGAAAAATGAACAGATGTCTATCGATCTTCTTTTTTTTTTTTCGTATGCATGTAAGACTCTATCTGCTTATCATATATCAATCGACCATTACTGAGAAAAAAAAATCAAGGACAAAGAATGAAAGACATTCTTTCAAGCATGACACGATCGATCGATCAATCAATGTGAATATATGTATATATACGCGTGCGTGTGTATATGTATGAAAAAAGACAATCGAACCATTTGATGAACCCGTTTTTTTTTTTTCTTCTATCTTATTTGAACCTATGTATTAAAACGATGTTTTTTCTTCTTTTCATGATAAGAAAGAAAGAAAGAGAGAGAGAGAGAGAATGGAAACGATTCTCTTCTTCTGATAATAACAGTTGGAGTTCAATTGAATTATCATTCTCTTTTTCTCTTGCGGTTCATACATTGGTGACAAACTATTTTGATTAAACAGATGCTCTCGAACATATAAAAGAAGCAATTTTTTGTTTTCTAATCAACTTTTATTTATTGATTTGTCTGCTATACATTGAATATATTTTGAACAAGGTTAGTTTATGCATAAATACAGTTTAGTTTATTTTAATGTGTATACATATATATATGTATATGTATATATTCTAGATTGTATGCAACATATAGACGGCTTTCAAACGACCGATTCATTTCGGTTTGATCGTAATACATCATCATCATCAACATCATTATCTACATCATCCGGTTATGGTTCACGTTTAAGTTTATCTCAAACTGATCATTCATCATCAAATCGTCGTAATATTATAACAAAATATTTTAAAGAAAAATTATCTAAACATAAAAGTTTAGCATCATTAATATCATCATCATCATCAAAAACAGATATAAATATTCCTCAACATGAAACAGAAATCTATGAAAGTGTATGGAATTTAGATGGACGTTGCTGATAATGACAAGAATTGTTTCAGATAGGTATTTTTTCATACAAATATTCGCTTATGCTCTCAAATTTATGTAATTATCGAATACATGTGTTTGGGTAGTCGAAAAAGTAGTCAAACTAACGACAATCGTTTACATATTTGTTGAGTTCCATGATTCTTTATTGTATTTTCTATATGAATCCATAATATAGACGTTTACTTACAACTTCCGGAAGCCTTCTTTTTCTTTCGAACGTCAACGGCTGTTTACTTTTTGTTCAAACAATACACATTTATGAAGACAAAAATGAAAGAACAAACTTTTACAATAACCATAGAATATAGTAGATGTAAAATACAATTTCTAAAAATATACTGAAACCATTTTTTTCATAATTTACATTTACAATTTCCATAGAGCAATTTTCGTATAGAAAGCTTTAAAAAACTGTCTCTCTATATAGTCTGATTTTGAATAACTTTCGATAGAAACAAAATAGAGAGTTGTGATTTTTTATCGTTCGAAAGAGGAGATAAAGATGCATCAAATCATGTATCATACGTTTTCTTAGTGTATGATTTCATGTTTGTTTAATCAGTTTTGTAAGTCTGGGAAAAATAGTTTCTTATCAAAAAGGAAACAGAAAAATCACTTAAAACTTTGACTAGGATACCTATTACTTCTGAATGATTTATTCTAAACCTTTAAATCTTGTGCAGTTTTGTAAGTCATGTCAAATAGACCTATAATATATAACTCGATGCATCTTCACCTCTTCTTTCGAACGATGAAATTCGTAGTTCTCTGTCTTATTTCTATTGAGAGTTATTCAAAAAAATCTCCACTAAACATATGATAGCGAAACAAATCGTATCGAAAATTTATCATTATGATATTAGTTGAAGTAGGATCAAATAGTATAGAAAAACAAAGTTTTCTGTACGGAAATACGATAATGACGACACTACTTTTGGATTGCCTTAAGTTTATCAAGTGGACAGAATCATTTAAATAAAAAATTTCATTAACATAAATACAGAAAGTCTCAAAAGTCCCTGGGGAAATTTTACTTTAATATCTTTTATATAACTAAATCAGTTTAATTGCTTTTTTTTTGTAATAGTATGATAGGATATTTTTTTAAGTTTTATTTCATATAATTTTGTTTAGAACAAACGTTCAAAAAAATGATTATCAACTAACATGTATAGAATCATTGTATATAAAAATCTTCAAAAGAAAAATATTGCAGAAAGTTAATTTTCGAATAAATCTATTCTCATTATCTAGTTAAATATAATCGTTAAGTGATAACAAGAATATATTTTTTAGTAAAAATCTTGAATAATTCTTTTTAAAAAGATCGATAAGGTTATTATTTATTTCAAATATAATGTATAACATCGGAGAAGTATTATTTTGTTACTTTTGACAAACATTATTAAACATATTTATTCACATGTTATTCTCTTTAGATTTCTTATTTCTTTTTCTTTTTGTCTAAACTACTTTCAAATCTAACGGCATTATTGCGTTTTACAAAAGAAAAAAAAAAACTCTTTTTCTTATATTCTCTTCTATTTCTAGACATTTGACATGGTCTCACGATGCGTTAAATATTTCTTTTAGAAGCACACTGTTGTTGTCAACGGTGCTGCAATAATGTATGCATAGCGAACGACTCGCTTTTTTTCTTCTTATCGACGAGAGAACTATATAAAGTCTGACTAGTCGATTCCGTTTCTTTTTTTTTTTATATAAAATATTTGCACGATTTTTAGTCTCAAGAAACATACAAATGGCGAGTACGTTAACAAGCGCTCAACAGCAAGAGTTAAAAGACGCTTTTGATGTATTTGATACAGGTATAATAGATTATTATGAATAATAATATATTTATTCGTTTATAAATAGATGGCTCAGGCAAAATATCACATCGAGAATTAGGTAATATATTCAAAGCATTAAATGTTAAAGTCAATGATAGTCAATTGAAACAATTAGTCAACGAAATGGATACTAATGGAAGTGGTATGTATGAAAAAAAAAATTTTTTTAATCGTAAAATAAAAAAAGATTTATTTTAAAATAGGTCAAATTGAATTTGATGAATTTTGTCGAGTAATGGCTGCGACATATTTTAAACAATATTCTCAAGATGAATTACGTGCTGCTTTTCGTCAATTTGATCAAGATGGTTCAGGTTATATACAAGCTGAAGAATTGGAACATATCATGCAAAAAATGGGTCGACCTTATAATAAAGCTGAAATTAATGCAATGGTTAAATCATTAGATCAAAGTGGTGATGGAAAAATAGGATTTGATGAATTTGTTCAATTATTTAAATAGATTTTAAAATGTCTGTTCTTTTTTTTTTTGTCATAAAATAAATAAACAATTATATTTCACCAGGAATAGATGGAGAGAATGAAAACTATTTTACCATCGAATGTTGATAAACACAAAACTGTAGTCTTTTTGCATCTTTATCTAAAGAAAAAAAAAAATTTCATTCACAATAATATAGTATAAAAGAAATCATTTACTTGATTTTGAACGATGTTTATTGAGAATGAATGGTATATAATGACGAAAATTTCCATTACGTACTATAAATATCAATGGATTCCATCTAAATAATGAAAGATGTTGTAGAACAAAATAAAAAAGAAGATTTATGTTTATTTCGAATAGCATACATGAAACTTGTTTTAGCAAATAAAGCCGGTATTGTATCCATGATGCGTGGAATATGATTTGCATCAAAAAACGCTCGTATAAGAACAAGTATTGCATATGGTGTCCAAGCAATGAGAAATCCTCCTTAATAATCAATGTTTAGCTCTTTTTTTTTTGTAATGGATAGAAAAAGGAACATAAAATATGATCAAAGTTTGATTGATACGATCTCGAAAGACGTAGGTTTGTGAATCGGGATGTAGGCTTGAGAATAACTCTGAGAAACGTCAACATTGTAACCCTTTTAATTAAAACGATCTTACAATTGGAATGAGCAGAATTACTCAGGCTGAGAATTACAGTCATCAAGATGTCTAAAAAATTGTATTGTCTTCTGTCGTTTTATACAGTTTGTAGTGGTAAATTAAGGTTTGGTAGACGCAGTATTATGATTGTATTTTATTGTGCTGTACACAATTGAAAACAATCATCAAACAATCTGAAAATCAAGTGTTCGATCGTAATACTACGTCTACCAAAACGATGCAATCTTTTTTCGATTACAGTCTCACTCGAAAACGATTCAGATCGAGAAATGAATGAAAACAATAATTCTATTAGCATAGAACTCAAGTTCAGTTGTTCTAGTCTCTATTATGGGCTCGACCAAATTGGAATCAATTTTGTCTATGTCGAGTAAAATGTCTAATATAGTATTCTTACCGATGACCAAACTGATTGTATGTAGAACACGACGTTCGATGAGCAGTCGACGTTGAACAAACGATTGATTAACTTTGAGTGTAAAAGAGCGTCGATGATTACGAATCTTAATAAGAAATATGCATCTCTTTTCTTTTTTGTTTTTTTAAAGGAAAATTGCTTACTAATAAACATATTTTTACATTTGTTATCAATATTATCATAACCGGTATAAAATAAATAAAAATAAGAACAGTTATATTATAACTGATTACATTTAATGATCTTTCTGTCCATTGGATACTACATGAAAGTCCTAAACCCTAAATTTAATTAACTAATAAACTAATCCATTCCAAGAATAGTACTATAATCAAACCTCATAATCATATGAAGACCATCCTAATAATGGCATTATTGTCCAAAATAGAGATAATATATAAATACATCCAATGGATATGTAAGTTCGTTGAATTATGTTACTTGGTGGTTGAAAAGGTCTAGTCATGATACTGTATCTAATGAAGAGAAAAAAAAAAGAAGAAAAAGTGATTCTTCTATTTCAATTGAGTTTTATTTTACCTATCAATTGAAATTAAACAAAGAATGTACATATTTGAGCAGCCCACAAAATAACTAATAATAGCTTCAAATACACAGCCAGTATATGTAAAAATCCATCTGTAGAAATCATTATTATATTCTATTGAGTTTTTTTTTTTAGAGAATATCCTAACCTGCAATGAATAAGTGATAAAGCTGGAAATGGTATTTCAAAACATGCTCCAATAAAATCACTCAATAATAAACCACCAATAAGTATATTTGTGGATAGTTGACGTAATTTGCTATTTCGTATTAATGTATAAAGTAATGTACCATTTAAAACTGTACCAATTATCCAAAGAAGAATAAAATAATAACCAAAAATTCGAAGTATGTGACAAGATTCAATTTGTTTTAAGTGCGAAATATTAGTTTGCATAATGATTGTTGAAAAGAAAAGAAATGCAAATGTTTACACGTATATTTTTATCGTCCTGAAGATGAGAAAAAAAAAAGAAGAAATTAGATTTAAATTGAAATAATCTAAGAAATGTTAGATTGACAAAGAAAAAATATCTATAGAGGCTTTAAAAGTTAATAAAGGGATTTCTCTTTACGATTAGATTGTGAGAAATTGTTCTATACTAAGAAGGCTTTTTTTCTATCAACGTAGGCTTAATGCCATTCTATGATGTACTTATTATCTTTGTCGAACATACGATTTATGTTCTGCTCGTATTCGTGCATGTTTTGTATTACTTAGACTATTATCATAACAAGTATTTTGAATTAAGTATAGAAAAAGTTTTATTTTTCTTTTCTTTACATTTTATAGAATAAAATGCAAAAATGTCCGAAGAATGTTGCCAAATTAGTGTCAATTATATCAGATGAAAATGCAATTTTTTTTCTATGTTTACAATCTACTAATGTTTTTAATTCTAATACGTCAATCAGAGAAGCCTAATCTTCTTCCTAATATCTTTTTATACTTGCTATTCTATACTTTAACTAAATAAAAAACTAAATGTCAGATTTGAATCACTTTCTCGAACTATGACATAAGAGAATAAATTAATTAAAGTTCGAAGTCTATGTACAAAAAATAAAATGATGCTTTACTTGAATAAAGAAAACTAATATTTTTTTATTGAGTAAAAGAACATCGATTTTGTAGCTTTTTGTTTATTTACGATTGCCTTTACGAAGAATTTTCTGAATCATTAATTAATTTTCGTTAGTCTGTGTTGCTGTCAGTTGTCGTCTATACGAAATAAAGGTTTAAAGTATTCTCTTTTTCTTTACAGCAAAGAATAAAAACTCAATTCTCATTCAATCATTGTACATTCCTTCATATTTTTTGATGAAAATCTTTTTAAGCAATTAACATATATCTTGAGCAATTTCCATTTCATCAAATGGGTTCGCTAATGTAAAATTTATATGAACAACTTCTCTTGTTTATCAAAAGAAGGTACTTCACCCGTTACCTACGAGAGGTCATTCCCGATTGTTTGATACTTCTCTCTTTTATCGAAGCCTTGTCTCTCTTATTTCTCATTGTTCAAATCTGAGATTTTTGACATAGATTTTTCGTTTGCTGTACTTCAATTTTCAAAAGATTCAACTCAAAAAGTTCTTTGAATCTCAAGGCATAGATGTCCCAAGTCAAACAACAGACTATACTACAATGTGTAGAGTTTCTCTGTTTTTTCTCACACAAATAGACGAGAGCAAAGAACAAGTGGACTACAGTAGAAATGTTATTCAATGAGACAGTGATCGAATCAGAGAACACCTTGGCTCTAAGGGTAAAAAGTACAAGAAAAACAAGTGAAGTTTGAGATGTGGCAAGAGAATGTGATAAATGAAATAAAGACTTCTACACTACTATAAAAGTCTTGGAATCTTGTAAAACAGCAGGACACAGAAAACGTACTTTGATTGTCTGAATATATGGAGAGAAAAGAGAAGGATGTTACGAGTCTTTTTTCATGTATTCTAAAAGAACCGAATCCTCATAATACTGCTTAATAAAAGTAATACTAAAAAAATTCCATCAGCATCATAGAGCCTCCGTGCAAAAAGAGAAATCAATTCTGTAATTCATCTTGTCTATTTTAGTTATTCTACGCCTATATTCAATGATTAAATCTATATCTCATAGTATAGAGAATCTTTTGAGCTAAATCTTTTTGAACTTAAAGCAGCATATAAAATGAAGAATCTATGTTAAAAATTTTAAGCCTGAAAAAATTCCAACAAAAATAAGGACGGAAAAATAAAATTTTTTGACCTGACTAGTGACCTGATGTCCATTCAGATACACTGAGTTCAAACCTTTTAGCGACTTTTTTAATCTCGTTATTACCTACTCGTAGTCAAAATATGAAGTCAAACCATGTCCAACAGTTATATATATTCACTGGTTAATTTCATATATTTTGCCGAGCTAGTAATCATGCAGAAAAAAAATATTCCATATATTTTTTTTAATGTTTCTATGGAACATAATTACTTAGTATGACAGCTTAAATGTAATCATCACTAAAACTTTCTATATTTTAAAAGCATAATAAATCTACCTTCGAATATCTTCATCATAATCTCACTCATCTATTGAATGCTTTCAAGAGAATTTTCTCCGAAAGACTATTATACAAAGATATTATATCCTGATGAAATTTTATGAATATTAATTACATAGCTGTGAAGCTAATCAAATGGTTGCCAACTTTTTTTTTTATTATCATACTTAATGGAGCTTGTTCTATTTTAATTATTAAGGCAAGAAAGAATATTGATCACTCCAGCGAGTACAAAGGACGGGTAAACAGACAAGTCGTTTTTCTAGTCATGATAATATGTCGCATCTAGTCTTTTTTTCATAAACGTCTCCCATATGACTAGTCCGAAATTGTTTGGAGTCTTTAGCTCCCGCCTTGACTACGTAAGTGACTCGTGTCATTATATCTGTTATGTTAAGCTGTTTTGGGAAAAAAGACTTGACATGTTGCACTGTCCGGACATCAGTCCAAAATTGATTTCAACTCGAAACAGGAAGAGCGTCCGCGACGTTGCATATAACAGATTGCAGTCTTATATAGTAGTCTAACGTATGATCGAAAAGTTTTTGGACAAAATATTTGTTCACTTTTGACCAAGTAGAAAGTATTACGAACGAGTCAAAAGCTATATGTTAGAACCAGAATTTTGTGCTCTCTTCAAATATGGGCTCAGAAATTTTGTCCCAATTTTTGTTCGAGAATAGTGAAATAATCTTTGAGAAGTCCAAAAAATGAGTTTGGACGAAACTTGTTGGTTGAAATTCGTGATAAAGATG